GTGGCGGGGAGGGAGGAGGCGCCAGGAGGCCGGCGCGACTGCGGCCTGCTTCTCCGCGTTCGCGAGGGAAATCCTGCTCAGAAGCGGAGCGGCCAGAGCAGGGCTGCCCTGAGCAGAGTCCCGGTGGTTTCCTCCGGTCTTGGGGCTGTGTTTGCAGTAAACACCCTGATGTGACCCCCAAAGCCAGGGCCCAGGGAGCTGCAGAGGGCCCTAGAGTGCACCGGGGCCGAGAGGGCCTACTCTGTCCTCTTGCTTCCTCGCCTACTGGTGGGTTTGGCACTCGCTCTGGCACACACCGGGCACAGCCCCAAGAGCAGCCAGGGCACCATGGTCACCACTCATTAGCAATGGGCGCCAGCGGCCTTCGGCAGCCACTCAAGGGTTCAAGGCCACCGTGGGTCCTTCACCCCATGACCTCCTCCACCCTTCACAGCTTCTTTTCTGCACATTTGGACCCAAGCCTGACCTCCCTGTGGCTTCAGAGTGAATCTGGAGACCTGGTGAGACCCCCAGGATTCTTGGTGCCTTGAGAGAGGGGCAGCCCCGCCCCAGCGCTGCTGGCCACCTGGCTCCTCAGGAGGGACCCTATCCTCTGCACCATGGCCTGGGGCACAGCCACTCCAGGAGCCTCCCCTCCACTCCTCTGCCTCTGTGTGTGTGTGTGTGTGTGTGTGTGTGTGTGTGTGTGTGTGTCCCTGCTCCATGGCCTTCCTTGTGTGCCTCACCACTGGCTTTCACGAATCCTGAGAGCTCCTGCAAAACAGGGCATCCCTTCACCCTGCTCCTCCAACCCGCACACCAGCTGACTCTGATGGATGAAGGGATGGGCTGAGGGACACTGGATGTGGTTGTTTTTGCTGTTGAGGGTGACTGTGCGGGTGAAGAGGAGGTGGGAGCAGAAACAGCTCCATGGGCTAAGTGCCACTACCTCCATTCCTTGCGGTGGGTGAGCAAGGTGTACTGCTCTCCCCATCGCCCAGGACGGAAGTGTCTGATGAAGAAATGAAGACTCCAGGCAGCATGGTGGCACACACCGGGGAAGCAGAGGCAGGAGGATTATAAATCTGAGCCCAGCCTGGGCAACCTAGTGAGAATTTGTCTCAAAATCAATGGTGAAAAAGAGTTGGGGGTGTAGCTCACGTAGCTCAGTGCAAAAGTCTCGGGTCAGTGGGGGAACAGGGGGCAGCAATGAAGGCTCAGAGAAGTTATGTTAGTTCTCCAGGATCACAAAGCTTTCCAGACTGTTGGACCCTAAGGCTGAGGATGCCAGCTGCTTCTGCCTCCCTCTCCATACATCTGAAGAATCTGCGCACGCGGGGTGGGGGTGGGGAATCTCTGGTAGCCATGCCACCCCTGTCCAGAGTGAGGCAGCCCATGCCTAGGAAGGGCCTGAGGTCCATCTCCCCCTCCCAAGCCCTTCTTCAACCCCAAGGCTCCTTTCTGCTGTCTGCGCTGTATCAGCTCTGCCCAACATCACAGTATCTTTCTCGGTATTCTGCTCAGTATTACTGTGGCCTGCAACACTTTTCCAGGAAGCCAGGAACATGACCTTGGTCCCACCACTGACACATCACTAATCACAAATCCTCCCCATCCCGAAATCCCAAAGTGTGTGTGGGGTGGAGATGGGGTCTAATTGCCACCACCATGCCCGGCCCTAGCCCTCTGGACCTGAAGCCCAGTGAGAGGAGGGTGGGCTCACAGAGGACCCAGGCTCAGAGAGGGCAGGGAAATGCTGTGAATTAATTGCTCTGGCCGCGGCTCATCTCTGTACACAAACATTTGAACGTGCAGTAATTAATTACACCTGCCACACCGACCCTCCTCTCGCTCACCCTTCTTCAGCTTTCTTCTGCTCACCCTTGGACCACCCTCCGCTCCACCACGGGGCCTGAACCCCAGGCAGGGCCCTCAGCCCAGCCCCACTATCAGTTACAGGTGTTCACATCTGCCCTGCACCACTTTAGCGTGGTGGGCACCTGGGCGGCGCCCCTCAGCCACGGTGTGGCGCAGAACCTTGCAAGGAGTGTGGGCCGGAGCCGGGAAATGAGCGTGGGCACCCT